TATATATATATATATATATATATATATATATATATGCGTGTGTGTGTGTGTTATTCTATTATGGGTGATTCATGTAAAAGACATCAATTGTGATACTTTAGGCAAATTTTCAAGTACTCATAAGTAATAACGAGTATTTTAAATTCCATATAACAATGCGTAGTGGAAAATGTGCCATTGATTTCTTTTTTTTTCCTTAAATGTTTTATTATTCTTCTATCTCTTATTACTCTTCTACCTGCAACAAAAATAAATAAGTTACTTACCAAAAATAAATAATTAAGTCAGTGTAGTATAGATAATAAGGCCGAAACTGATATTGTCAAATTTAAGCAAAGTCTAATCTTCTTTATTTATTTTACAACCGACTTCTTTTTGCCCTTTTTGCTTTTGCTGTGTTTTTTTAAAGACAACAAAATGCATTCAAACAGTCCAAAAGCAAAAAAACAGGAGAAAAGAAATTAAATAAAACCATATATTATGAAAATATGTATGAGCTATTTTAAGCCTTACCTATTGGTGGAATTTTATCATTTTTTTATATCTTATTACTCTTTTACATGCAACAAAAATAAATCCACTAGTATAGTATAGATAATAGCGGCAAAAATAATATTGTCAATTTAAGCTACTCATCTTTAATTATTATGCATTATTTTCCAACGACCTTTTTTTTCCCTACTTGCTTCTGCTTTGTTTCCTTTTAAAGACAAAAAAAATGCACACAAAAAACCCAAAAGCCAAAAAAATGATAAGAAAAGAAATAAAATAAAACAATATATTCTGAAAAGACTTATAAGCTACTTTAGCCTTATCTATTGGTGGATTTTCCTCCATTATCTTTCAACCCTGCTCCACTTGATCATTGCAAATCACGTGATAACCACTAATCGCTCTTGTCACCAAAAATTCGCTTCAAATGCGAGAATTTCCCTTCCTTTTTTTTTCTTTTTTTTGTTTTAACTTCCAATAAATATCTAGGTTATAGCAAAGGGATAGCAATGGGCCAGGCCGCCCGACGTTGTAAAAGTATGGTCTGGGCCACAAACTTTGGGCGAGGGTATGTACTGGCCGATTCAGCCTGGCAAACCTTTTTTTATTTTTTCTTCTTTTCCATTTTTGGCCCCGCTTAAATTTAAAAGGGCCAAGGCCGGGCCCACTTAGATAAGGACCAGGCGGGGCTGGGAGAAGTCCAAGGCAAGCCCGCCCCGGGGCATTGCTATCCTTATTTTCCGGGCCAAGGCCGGGCCCACATAGATAAGGACCAGGCGGGACCGGGAGAAGTCCACCCCGGGGCATTGCTATCCTTATTTTCCGGGCCAAGGCCGGGCCCACATAGATAAGGACCAGGCGGGACCGGGAGAAGTCCACCCCGGGGCATCGCCGGGTAATTTGCGTATAGTCGCCGAGGATATTACGATGAATGGGGTAAGTCGGAGCAGCCTAAGAAGTGGACGTGCAATTACTAAAAGAAGTTGGACGTTTCGGGAAACCCTAGCGACGCGGAGTGTTCCACTTTATCAAAGGCCGGCCCCACATTCCAGAAAGGGCGTAAAATTCCAAAAAATATCATTAGAGGCCTCACAATAAAGCCATTGCAGTGCCCCAGGCTCCGTTGGAAAAAGTACGCCAATACCCCATATCCCTCCTCAAAATTTAGATTCAAAATTCCTCCTCCCAACGATAATCATTAATGATACTGAGGGAAAGAAAAATAAATAAATTTGTGCTCTAATTTCGTACCACATTATCTCGACGGTCTATTTTGAAGGGTTCACATGTCCACTAGATCTTTGTATTTTTAAAATTTTAAAATTTATAAACTAGATCTCAAATGGATTTTTAGGTGGCTTCGAGTGCCTCAGCCAAGGTTTAAAAAATCTACATGCCAAACTAGAACAGTCCAGTACATATTGGGAATCATCGGGACCAGTCTGATTCTGCTAACATATTGGGAACCAACCGATTCTCTCTAGAAACCGGGCAATTCTAGCTAGTTCTTTGACATAACTAGTCCCATTTTATTTTAAATAGGAAAAAATTTATGGAAGGTTGCAACCTTAAATTTAAAATTACAGACGCACCTCAAAAATCCATCGAAAAATGTTGTTTTAATGTTGAAAAACCATCTAATTGATTATATCGACATCGAGATGTATGAATATGAAAAAAAAATTGATTCGGAGTCTCAGAAATAGTACCTCTTGTAACATATTATCTAGACCGTCCATTTTTGAGATTTTCATATCTTTATAGATCTACTTGATTTTAACCATTTTTTAAGTTTAAAATTTTATAATTAGAGATGAAAGTAGATTTTAAGATAATTCTAAAGAATCTTTACTCCAAAATTACATATTTTGATAAAATTTGAACGTGCGCCTTAATTGAATTGTTTAAAGTTGCAACCTTATACAAATCACACTTTTTTTTTTTTTTCTCTTGATTTTTTTCAGGGAGTTCACTCGGCCAGGTGGTCGATTCCAACTGCCGAGTTCACTCCTGTGAAAGAATTATTTGATAGACAATCTAAGTCACCTGTCTGTATTTTTAGACCTTAGCCAGGCTATAAGAGAATTTTTAGGTGCAGCTTTAGTTTTTGTACCTAGGCCGTACCCCTTGAGGCCATTTGGAAACTCTGCAAGTAATTTTCGGAAAACATTTATATAGAGCCCAAGCTCTAACCAATCAAATTAGAAGCTACCTCAAAAATTTTACTAGAAGAGATTGTTTTAATGCGTAAATATCTTCAGATTGATCATCTCGACATCAAGATGCATGGACATAAGAAAAAAAGGGATTTTAAGTTTTGGAAATAATATATTTTGTAATGTATTTTTGGATCATCAATTTCTAAAATTTTTCAAGTTTTCATAGATCTGTCGATCTACAATATTTTTTGAAGCTTTAACCTTTATAAATAAAGATGAAAATATATTTTAATGCTATCACGAGGATTTTTAGTACTGAAACCACATTTCTCAATACTATTTGAAGGTAGGTTCTAATTTGATTGTTTAGAGCCTAGGCCCTATATAAACCGCACCCATAATTATCTGATAAAAAATGAGAAAAAAAGTAAGATAATTGGTTTGAATAAAAAACACTTTAATAAAGCTCCCCTTATATAAAACCCAAGGCCATGGGCGAACACCACCCCCACTTGGGCAACTCTCATGCCCCAAAAAGTTTTTACGAGCTACAGAACCAGAATTTCGCCGGAAAACCAGTTTTCCGGCTACCAAAGCAAGCTCAAAACCTGAAACCCAATCTGTTTTCAGGCCAAAAAACTTCAGTTTCCGGCAAAACACATCCAGGCCATAACCCATTCTCGGGTGATCCAATCCCTCCATCTCTCTCTCAAAAACCAGTTTCTAGCGGCCAAATCCAAGAACCACTGAGCAACCCAATAAAACCATCTGTTTTCCTGTCAGAGGACTCTGAAATTCGACCGAAAAAGGGCGAAGGAAGCCACTATGTGGAGCTTACTCTTAGCCATGTGCAAGAGCCTAAAAGGCAGCTCTAGGGTGGTAGATGAGAGCAATATTGCGGTAGCTCCGGTGAACTTGCCGGAAATTCAACCGGAAATTGGCCGGAATCCATGGAAATCCGGCTTCCTCAGCATCTTCAGAGCACCATTGGCTGTTTTGGCTTGTGTTTCAAGGCATGAAGGGGACTTTCCTGGTGAATTTCCGGCGAGTTGGCCAGAATCACGAGATGGGGTGTGGTTTTCTGGGGAGATTCCAAGGATTTCAGAGATGAATTACCTTATGGTACGTGATAGCATGCGCTATGCGATCTTCGTGTAATATATGTGTATGAAATTGAATTAAAATCGGTCATGTAATTTTTTTTAGAGTGATTTTTTTTTCTTTTTGGTTTTGATGTGAAGTTCTGTAAGCAAATCCCTATTTTTGCTTTTTTTTTTTTCTATGTTTTTCACATATTAATTATAGCTCTGTGAAATTTTTGGGGGATATTTCTGAATAAGCTATTTGTCTCTTATTTTTTCTTTAATTTTTTGTTTTGTGGGCTTCATTATCGGAACTCCATGCGGAATTTGCTTGGACAATAGCCTGAGCCTCAGAGGTTTTAATTTTTTTCATTTTGGAAAAAGTTTCTGTAAGATTGACACTCTAATGGCCTAATCTGTGGAATTAAAGTATCGAGAAAGTTGGTTTTGATGTTGGAAAAACATCCAATTGATCATGTCTGTCATCAAAATGCTAGGAAATAATGTAATTGGCCATCTCGATATCTCGAAATACGGAAAA